CTGTAATAATTTGTCGTTTCAATGAAACAAATAACTTCGTGGTTGTGACTTGACTGCTTCATTCAGCATACCTAACCTAACCTAACCTTCCAAGTAAAACACATTCTAATGATATGAGCCTAACCTAACCTAACCTAATCTAACTTAACCTAACCCAACCCAACCCAACCCAACAAAACCCAACTCAACCTAACCTAACCTAACCTCCCAAGTAAAAAACATTCTGAGAAATATAACAGGAGGCTCCATCCAAATAATGGAACTCCACGATATCACACCCTCACCCTAAATATGCACATAGGTATAAATTCGAACTTGCCTATTCCTAATGAATAATCGTTATTCCCAGTTTCGCTTACAGTTAAAACTAATGGCACAAACAAAACCACAACCAAAAATGCTCCCTTATATTAAACTCAAATATACCTATTGAGTACTTTTTGTTTTTTTACGATTATCAATTTCATTTCTTTGAACGTAAATTGTCTTATAAGCACTAATTACTTTGGGGTCAAATAAAGAAGGGCCATTGATAAGGTGCAGAAGGGACTAGCGAAGGCATGATGATTTTTCATCGATGATTTCGAGAAATGCCACCACGAGATAACAAAAAACATCAAAAAGGTATCGGGGTTGAAGGTATTCCTTGTAGACCAATGTTTATTTGAAAATGGTTGACAATGTTTCATGGTGATTTTTTTTAGTTCGGACATACATTGTCCAATATGATTTTAATATTATTCCAAATCTCTGAAAAAACTAATGAAATTAGAATAGATAGCTGAAATATTAATTATATTAAGCAATAAAACGTGGAATGAAAATACATTACATCGAATAAAATAATCAATATATAAAATGAAAATGATCACAGGGTAAAAAAAATAGAAAAGAATTAATATGAAAATAAGCAAAAATCAAACAAGAAATTAAAAATTAGGACATATTTCAAATCAAGTTACTTCACGACGTTTCGATTGTTAGTATCCGCAATCGTCTTCGGGGGATGACTCCTCCGAAAGATGACTATTTATAGCGCTTATATCCCCTCTTTTCTCTCTCCGCTTCACCGATTCTGTGGAAGTTGACCGTTTTCCCGCTTGATTACAGGTTTCCATATATTGCGTATCTCTATGCTAGCTTGGCTGAATACGTCGTTGGATAACATATATGCAGCTTCTTTGAACTTTCTCTCAAACCAGTGTTTCTCCCTGTGGATTATCTCAGCTTGGAACCACTTGATGTTATGTTGATGAAACGAAACAAGCTCTGCTATTCCCGATTTGCTGATTTCTTCTCGCTGTGTGTTTCTCTTGTTTTCGACAATGCGGCCTCTTAGTTCCACCAATATAGGATTTACCGCATTCATATGGTATCTAGTAAATGCAATTCTTGGAATGGCAGTCCATGTTAAGTAGTCTGGTTTTCGTGAGGCTTCTAAGGATGGTGTTTCCGGATCCTCTCCGATAATCCTCTGATGTAGGGAAGTGCAAGCACTGGTTGTGACAGTTTCTCTTCCTTGCGAGGCTCACGCTGTCTTTTAGCCAAGGTCTTTTCTACCATCGCTTTGGAGTAGCCATTCCGTTGAAGATCATTTTTGATGATGTCTAGTTCCTTCTCGAGACCTTACTTCCCATTACAAAGCCCAAAAGCACGGTCTAATAGAGTCTTGATGATTCCTCTTTTCAATTCCTCTTGTCAATCACCTTCAAACAAACGAGGAAAATCCTGATCATCGCAAGATATTTCTTCGGCGCCAGCTAACCAGGATCGCCCAGGATTACCTATATTCCTGTCGTGCCCTTCAACTCACCTCGGAGGGTTAAAGGGTACGACAGGAAGGGCATGAAGGGTGGTATTTACCGAGGCTTTGGCTAAATCTTGGTAACCTAGTACTAGCCTTGAGGGCTATTTTGAACTGTTTCTTCAGATGACGTTTTGGTAAGGAAGATGTCCATGGTCAGGTACTTATAAATGTGGAAATAACAATAACAGCAATAGATACAGTTATTGGTATTAATCGCTCATTATTGATATTGCATTTACCACCTTTCTAATTGAATAGAACTGGCCGATACTTGAAAATCCATATTGAAAAACTAATTAATACAATTTGCTTGTATGATTTTCACTATAAATATAGTAAACATCCTACAACTGTATTTATTAGTTTTTTTACCACCTTTTCCCCAACCATCATCGTTTCATACCAGAATTACGGAATTAACCTCAAGAATAAATCAAAAATATAGAATGACACAACAATGAGAACCAATTTACCCCTTTCGTGCTCCAAAAAAACAAAGCACTTTCAACGAATTCGTGAAAATCCGCGAACAAACCTGTCATCAACCGACCCGACACAAATTAATTTTCAACTCGAGTGGAGCTAAATATTACCATCTATTCTGCAAGAAAGTTAATTCGTTCCCGCTTTATAGTAACCGCATTCGGTGGTTGTTGAGTTATTGATTGATTACTGAAACTTCTTTATATTTAATTAGTTTCGGTGAGCTGCACGCGACTAGATTTAATGTGGAAGTTCGATTAGGCTAGTTGAAAGAGAATTATCTGCCAATACCATACGAGTGTTTCTGATGTTATGTTTTTCTGCGGAATGGACTGTGGAAATCAAATATAGATTTCCTTTATCCACAAGAGAAGCAACTCTCAAGAAGTGGTAATGACGAATAATTTCATGTAGTGGCCATTCATGGGACCTTTGGTTGACACAGTTGCGCACGGATAGCAAAAAATATATGTCATAGTGTCAAATCAGCTTGTCCATGAAGACGATTCACCTGAAGAACGTGCTTTTGATGATATGAGGGCAGAAAGTTTGGCTCTCTGAATACCTCTAGAGCATTTCAAAACATTCTAGAACACACCAGAACATTATGAAATTTCACGGAATGTTCGAGAGTAATCTGAAACGCTCGGAAACATAACGGAACATCCCAGGTTATTATGGAACATTCCTCAAAGGCTGTGGAATGTTCTAAAACATAGGGTTGTTGGCAATTGGTAGTATTATTGATGTTTCATACCTAATTTGAAATGGGTATAGTAGGCTATCCTCAAGAGACAGATTTATGCAATCCCGGAATTTTTGTAGACCTAGAAAAGAAGAACAATATGTGGTCAATTCCTTTGTTTTATCATTCTTCCAGTTTCTATCTGAAAATAACTTCTATGCATGATCTACACATCTTTATTTTTCTCGGACGCAATTGCTTCCTTTCTTCGGTAGATGTAGATGGAGAAGAAGTGGAAAGCCTATAGCTTTTTTCTCAACAAGTAATCTGTTCTGAATTCATACTAAATGTATATCCTCTAACCTTAGAAAAAAGATTGAGATGAATCAACTCTCTAATTCAATTCTATCAGACCTTTCATCACTTTCATAGTGGAGAAGGAAGTCCACAAAGAATTGTCATTTCAAGAAGAGGACCAACACTAAGTGGGAAACATCTGTTTACCAAAAACCCACTCACACAGATATCTATGTTTCAGGTATCTGAACCACGAATCCAACCACCGATCAATCGACTAAAAGAGGAATCATCGAGACTCTATTAGACCGTGCTTAAGAGCTCTGTATCACGAAGGAAGGTCTCGAGAAGGAACTAGACATCATCGAAAATGATCTTCAACGGAATCGCTACTCCAAAGCCATGGTGGAATGGCAAAAAGACAGCAAAAGCCTCGCAAAAAAGAAAAGCCGCCACAACCAGTGCTTGCACTTCCCTACATCAGAGGATTATCGGAAAGGAAAAGAAGGATTGGGTCCAAGTACAATATAAGAACCTGCTTCAGATCCATGAACACTATCCGTAGCAGCCTTACGAAAACCAGGTCACAAAACACGGACTACCATTCCAAGAATTGCATTTACCGAATACCCTATGAGAGCGCAAAAATCCTATATTGGTGCAACTAAGAGGCCATTGGAAGTCCATATTGCCGAGCACAAGAAACACACACACAGCAAAGGGAAACCAGCAAATCAGGAATAGCATAGCATGTTTGGACCCATCAACATAATATTGAGTGCTCCCAAGCTGAGAGGAACACTGGTTTAGGAGGAAATTCAAAGAAGCCGCATACATGTTGTCCAACAACGTTTTTAGCCAAGCTAGCGTATAAATACGCAACATATGGATCAAGTGGAAAACGGCCAACTCCCGTCAAACGGTCAGCTCCCGCTTAAACCGATGAAGTGGAAAGAGGAGATAAGTAAAAGTACTCGAATGACTCATAAATAGTCACCTCTCTGAGGAATTAGTCCAGTCATCACCTGAAGACGATTGTGGATCGAAACGCCGTGAAGAAACTTGGCTTGGAATCTCTTAATTTTATTTTATTTTTTGTTTAATTGTTATATTTTTTACTTGTATTTTATTTCACTGTAATTTCATTTCAGAGTTTTTTTCGCTTAATATCATTGTTATTTTCAGCTATTAATTTTAATTTTGGTTTCTTCAGAGATTTCATTTCATTTTATATAATATTAGACAATGGAAGTCCGAACTAATGAAATTCAAATTTATCAGTCACATTATACACGTTATTTAATTAATTTCTATTAATTTTTTGAATATTTTAGGTAGAATTTTAGTAAATGATTGTTTCAAATCAGATTTTGATAGACTTGCGCGTAAGTTGAACTCTCTATGGAAGTTTGGTTTGTTTTATTCGTCAAAAATGATCCAGAAAAATGTAATTATAGTTTCCTTAGCTGCCACAGTTTTCTGAGATGATCAGTAGCATGCATGTGTGATAAAAATGAAGGTAATATAAGAGGCTATGAATTAGCAGATATTCTATGAAAATCCATGATGAACGTATTTGATATACATTATCAATTTCACTAAACAGTAAACTGTTGAGTGAAAAACTCACAATAAAGTATACAAAATGCGTTTATCACATTCACCTTGAAGTTTAATAACTTGCCTGTCTTTCTCAGCTTCATTTGCTAATGATTTTTTTTATTCCAGGGACTGAGATGGAGCTGTGGCTCACTATGTCATGGCTGATACTAGGAGGACTAGCGCCGACTCCAGGTTCCGGAAACCCGGATGCCAAGCGCCTCTACGATGATCTCCTTTCCAATTACAACCGCCTCATCCGGCCAGTTGGCAATAATTCTGATAGACTCACCGTCAAGATGGGCCTCAAACTTTCACAACTCATCGATGTGGTATTAGTTTTTTTCTATTAAAATTTACAAATTTATTGTGTCAAATATATCTTTTTGATTCATTTTCCATTATCTTCAGGATTTTTAAAGATGCGGTAGTCATATTCATCTTATAAATTTTTATAAAGTCTACCGTAGTTGTAGACGAAACTCAAGTATGAAATCCTGCAGAACTTTATCCAAAAACATGAGAAATAGATGTCCAATGATCAGTGAAACATGTGTTACGGTTTTGTAAACTGTTAAGTAAATATCTAATGATGAAGTGTTGCTGAGGTACAACTTTATCCGTTCGTGAATATTTAAGTTCTCAGGTTAGGTAAGCCAAATCGAAGCGAGTAGGTCTATTCGACCTTCCTCTGCAACCTGCAAGTGTTCATTGTAGCTGACACCAATTTAAACTCCACCAAAATAATCATATTACTACCCAAAGCAGACAAGCAGTTTATTTGGTAATAGTGAAACGTTGATATACATTGAAAACCTGATTCTGGCAACGGGGGAGAAGGCACAAAGTATAAATACGCTTTGGAGGGTCTTCATGTTTCAAATAGAATGGGTATCCTGAATCTCACGACAATACCAATTTCTTTATATGATACAGAAGATACAGAAGAACGTAAGTCAGCCTGTCAGACGACGTAAGTCACCTTCCTCAAGGAAAACTTCACTTATAGGATCGACAAAAGACTCAATTCCCGAAAGTTGCAAAGCTGTCCTTCGACCTCGACCTTCGAACAAAATTTGTTCTCTTCCTTTCACTGCAGCTTCCAGTGCAAGGCAACTTATTGCATTGGGTATCCTCGATTTATCTTTGATTTTAGAGGATTGAGTCTTCTGTCGATCCCATATGTGGCATTTCGTAAAGGGAGCTATACTCACCTTCACTTTAAGGTTTGTCATTTTGAGGAGAGTTGACTGGTTCAGTTTTGTGTATAGACCATCTAGTGTCTCTCTCCAGAAAGATGTGTCACTGACACTGGACATTGTAGAGTACATGGGAGATACCCAGACAAGCCTGTATTCGTCTACCTGCCTTCGGGCACCAATTATATTCACCAAATGTTCCTTGAAGTATGTTATCTTACCATGTGGGCAAACCCTGGTGATCTAGGATCTAATAGCTCCAATTTGAAGAGTCTAGTAGCTCTTCTGTGAGTATGGCATATATTTAGACAGTAATGGTGGTTTCTATGCCGTTTTTACTCATAGGTTGCATCTTCGTAGAGGGAGGTATAATCATCTTCACTTTCAGGTTTGTCCTTTTGAGTAATTCAAGTGACACTTGCGTGATTCACCCTGGCACCACTGATGAGAACTTGAGGGGTCGGAACAGTGTTGGATCCCAAGTTCATCTAGCAGTCAATTGTTTGGTGGCTTTCTGTAAGCAGGCTTATTAGACAACGTAGGCCATCCCTGCTGTAGTCTAAAAATTTATTGTTTGGTGACAGTTCAGGTATTGAGTGTGTGTTTGGCAAAACCTAAAGTGATAAAAGCGACAGATTTTGCTCCAATTGAACTGTTTCCCCTGCCTTTTACTGCCAGTCTGCAGTTTCATATCTTTCAGGCTAGTGTGACCAGGAATCTATAGCAGAACCAATTTGTTACTCCTATTCAGGAGAGCTTTTTTTGTCAGTTCAATATCAACTTGGCGAAATACCTCCAAAGCCTTCCAGCTGGTCAATGTTTTTATAGATTATGTGTGATGATCTCCACACATAAATCAATGGCGTAAATTCTGTAATCCATAATCTGTTTATAATCTGTTTTTCCGTTAACCAGCTGTCGCACCCCTACGAACGACAACCCTCAGAAGTCGAAACTTGTGCGAGCTAATGATTAACGAGGTCTTACCTTTTAACGTGTGATTCCTAACACGGGTTAGACGATAGCAAGTGAAGATCGATCGTTCAGACTAGGACTTGAACCATCGACCAACACGGCAGTCAATTCGAGTGAGTGAACAAAGCACCCACGCCGAACCGCTTGGCTACCGACCGACCAAAAATACGGCCGAATAGGCTCTGAGCAGGTTCATTTATCTGTCCTGGATTTGAGGGTGTACACCCTTGCTTGACATGAGCCTGGTTTATACAATTGGCAATATGCACAGTTTTGTATGTTGATCACTCTTCAGAGAGATATGTCAAGGGATAGGTCCAAAATGATTTCCATGGCCACTGGCACTGGATACTGTAGTACATCGGAAATACAAGCCTGTCTCTGCCTGCCTGCCTTCGAGCACCAATTATATACATTATCAAGTATTCCTTGGAGAGTGTCATCTTGCCTTGTGGGCAAACCCTAGTGATCTCGGATCTGATGGCTCCATCTTGAAGATGTGAATATGGTATATATCTAGGAAGTAATAGTCGTGTTCAAGCCGTTTTAAGCCAAAGCTGACCAAATAGATTGAGGAAGTGCCTTGTTAATTGCTCCACCGATATCAAGAATTAAGACCATCGCACTTTCTTCATCATTGTAGGATTGGGTGATTATCTCTACAGGGTAATATAGTGCCAAATCCTACGGTTGGCCAGTTTGATAAGAGTGCTGGTGGTTGTTCCTTGCAAGTCCTTTCAATAAGGAAAATGTTGAGCTAATTGATATTACCCATTTGAGATGTGGTCTTGACACTCACTTCATGTATATATAGCTGCTCTGCAAGTTTCTAAGCTTACTTGAAATTATTATGGGTTTTCAATAGAAGCAATGCCAATGATATTGGCAAGGTTATTAAAATAATGTAAGAGAGCCCTGAAATCGTGCTTATCCATTGAATATTCTCTTTCCATCTATTCTTTATTGTTATGCAATGCTATATTCTCGCTTTCATTGAAAAGTTTCCTTAGGATAATATCTAAAATTTCAAATTATAAAAATTGTGCAAACGGTTTCTCACTGAAAAAGATATAGATTTCCTTATCACAAAGGTGCATTAAATCAAACTGGAAAATAACCAAGATGGCTATGTATTTTCGACTCTCCTGAGCTGACACAATAAATTGCTCTTGCAATAAATTTCGTAGACAAACGGTTCAATTTGTTTCCATGTAAGTGTTCCATAAATAATTGTCTTTCCTCATGAGACCACTTCTGGAAACTATAGGTCTATCCGAAAATAGGTCATCTATCATGCTTCCATCTGATGTGATATAAAACCAATGGCGATGGAGTGATAGTACATTATCTCATGTATGGAGCCCCTCTGAGAATAGAATGAAAATCTGTTGAATATAAAACTGAATCTCGAGCAGAGAAACTGTTTCATTTATTCAACTGTGTATTTTTCTTTCAAAATAAGGTTTAGAGTAAAATCTCAATAGCAAAAATTTCAAACTAATTCCATAATCTACATCTTACGATTTGATCTCAACAAAGTTTATTTAAAAAAAATATCACGACATGTTTCGCTAATAAAGCAGCTTTTTCGTATTGAATAACGTTATTAATTTTTTCTATGTATTCGACAATGCGTCGATTTATTTGGATTCATATTTCAATCAGCCCATTTCATTATACTCATCATCAAATTTTTTTGTAACTAGAACCTCAAGAACCAAATAATGACCACCAACGTTTGGGTTGAGCAGGTAATAAAACATAGTTAGGAAACAAGTTGCAAATAACCTTGTGAAGCAGTACATTTTCAGGAATGGAACGATTATAAACTAAAATGGAATCCTGATGACTACGGTGGAGTTGAGACCCTCCATGTTCCCTCTGAACACATATGGCTTCCAGATATCGTCCTGTATAATAAGTGAGTGTAATCATTACTTTAACACATGCATGCTTGAAGACTGGCTCTAAATCGAATTTTCTAAAAGAATAATCAATTTAGGCCAGTCGCTACTTACCTATATTGTAGTGGAATGGACTGAAACCCATCAGAGAACAACTACTCTCCTCGTTAATTCTACGAAGGGCGTTGGATTATATCTGACAAGTGTCAGTGCAGGATTCTCCACAGAAAAAAATCTTGCATATTCTTCTGGCGATACAACTGCCGGAATAGGTTTTCAATTTTCGGAACAAACACCGATTTTGGGTTATTTAGCCTCTAGTCAGTGAAAGATTACTGTCCTACATCGACACGAAGTCGATGATTTCCCATAATTGAAACTCAAATTATTTCAGAGTATCATACCTCGAACAAAGCTGAAGCGAACGATAAGCAACATTTCTGCCACCACCCCCTCTGCCTGTAGACGAGGAACTAACCAACCGCCTATTCAAATGGCCTAATTGCTCGTATAATGAAAACATTTTCACATATAGTAAGTGGCGAGTTCATTGGCTTGGGATGTGGGTGTTGAGCAAACCGGCCAAACGGACCATCCACGTAGCCCCGCTGGATACGGGAATGACAGAATCACTTGTAGTTGTGTTATTCCCTAACGGAATGGCATCCCAACGATGGCTCAATCCTAAGGTGTGTGTATCGGTGCCAAGAAGATGAATAACACTGAGGCTATCAACTGTCTCTACGGAACCTTCGAGATACCGGGCGCCCTCTCGTCGTAGCATCGCCTTGTCACGGCAATGCGGAGCTCTGCCGTGATTGACCGTCTTTCCCTAACTACTCGTGGGACTTTTATGGACAGAGTAAACTCAAAAATTCTTTCTGACGCTGAGTCTACAAAGGAGACTCTAACTGACCTCCCTGTAAATTTAGATCAGGAACGAGAGCTTCTGAACTCTCCAACTCCTGATCCAATAACTGAACCTCAAAAAAAGGTTTGGTGGTGCAGCCAGGAAACGACTGACTTGTCTCTTCAAGAGCGGGGTACCTTAATGAAACCGCCTTGCACCAAATTCTTGAGCGGCGTACGCAGAATCTGCCCCAAGTGGAGGAACAAACCCCTCATGAGCAAGTTAGCAAACGTTCGGGCTCAAAAGATGATTTACCAAAACCAGAGGCAAAAAATCCCTGCATGGTTGAATCTAAGGCATCTTCAGGTGTAGCTGACGTGCAAAAACCCTCATATAGGAAGGTTGTCGCAGGTATCAAGGTGGGAATCTTGCACCTTGACTATTCGACTACCTCATTAACGATGAAACAGCAGAGCATATACTTTGTGCCTGCACCGCTGGGACCGAATCAGGTTATTAGAGTTCGGCAGAGCCGTACTCTTACCATATGACATGAAAGACCACCCATCATACAAACTAATCGGCTTCGTTTAGAAGCTGGGTTTATTTGGTGGAGTGTGAATAGGAGGTGTGAGTCACAATAAACCCTTGCGGGTTGCGGTGGAGGGTCGGATAGACCCACTCACTTAGGACATAACCTAACTCTAAGTGGGGAAATCATCGTGGTGATGTAATGATGTAGGCATGTAGGCTGACGGGAGGCCAATTAGCCCAAAACCGCTCTACAAGTGTGGTCGTTCCAATAGATGAAAATCTATTTCGGCAGTTGTATCGCCAAAAGCTAATGCAGAAATTGCTTCTGTGAAGGATCCCGCACTCACACCTGTCGGATATAATCCAACGCCCTTCGTGGTATTAGCCAGGGGAGTAGTTGTTTTTTCTCAGTCCATCAACCTACTGTGTAGGTGAGTTGAGACTGGCCTGAACGAATTGTTCTTATAGATAATTTGTAATTGTTATTTCTTGAATATGACGCTTTTCTTTTTTATTCACAAATAATATTGAACTCCTTGCGGTCACCTAGATATTTTTGGTTTCAAAACAACCTAAACGAAATTTTTCATTTTCAACTCTTTTCATTTGTCGTTTCTAAATTCTGTGGATGATTGATTTCGACAAATACTCTCAATTTTTCAGTGCCGATGGAAACTATGAAGTGACGATAATGACCAAAGCAATTCTTCACCATACTGGCATAGTAACGTGGAAACCTCCTGCCATCTATAAATCATTTTGCGAAATAGATGTCGAATACTTTCCCTTCGATGAACAGACGTGTTTTATGAAGTTTGGATCTTGGACTTACGATGGATACATGGTGAGAATTTATAATTTTTCAATTTCTTATGGAAGTTTCGTTTTGAACTTTTCACTATCCTCAATGGAAAAAGTGGATGGGTTAGCAGATTATTACATATGCTGGGAATAGTAACAAACCGATATACGAAAATACTGCTTGAAGTGATATATAGGGTTATTTTATTAAGCGTGTATTGTCTTTAAATTCAAATAAAACAATGTCTGTGTGAGATATCATAGAAATTTTTTATTCGTTTGAAAGACCCAAAAGACCCATTGGTGTCATTATGGCCTGTATAAAAATTCAATTTTTTTTATATTGCACAGCTATATTTCCTGTCGGAAAAAGTTGGGAAAGAGTTGGGAAGTGAAGATAGAAAAAAATAATAGTAAAAAAATTATTAAAAATTAAAAATGAAAGAAAAGAAAGGGAGAGGTAATAAGATAAGGGAAAGAACCAGGACGAGGTTGGAATTTCCCAACATGCATAACTTGGAGATCCCATACTTTGAAATTCTGAGTTGTTCGAAAACTTCAAAAAAGTGTAATTCCTCCCAAGTAAGAGGACAGTCCTGAACCGTCCACAAATTTTGAAGTGACAATTCAACAAAATTCCCAACTTTTCGCTGTTTATTCGACTTGGAAAAGTTAGGAAATTTCGGACCGTGAAGATAAAAAAAATAATAGTAAAAAACAATAAGCACAATATTATTTGAATGTTGTCTCCTGTCATTTGTATTGAATATTCCCAACATGTTGAATATGGTGAAGGCCAAGGACCTTGGTCCAAAGTAGAATAATCACCATTATTATTTTTATAATCACCAAAATTTATTTTTGTTTGTGCATACCCTAACGGGCATAAGCATTCGCCCAATCTTTGGATATCTAAGTAAGAAAATTATTATATTATAGTAACTGATCCTTCGGCTTTCATTTTCTCGAAAGTTGGAAAATTTTGCTGGTGGGGTTGGGAAAATTTGGATTCCCCCCCTCACCTGGTGTTTTTCGCTACGGCGCTACGATTTAATTTCTGTAACTCAGAACCAGCTAAGTCACAACACGAATATAATACACGAAATTGAAATGTACTCACCTACCCGTACATTCTAAAGAAATCAAATATCTCCCACTCATATCTCCCACTCGAACGTGGGAGCTATTTCGTACAAATGCTGAACTAGGACTTCAAATACTTACCTGGACTTGACACAACTTTACCGACTGAGTTCAATACATATTTCGCAGATTAAATTCTCCTTACTCATTGCTTTTTTATCACATAACTGAATACTTATGATGCACTGTTTGGAACATTTGGTGTAGTAATGAATATTACTGGAGTTTTTTCCCAACACCAAATCGTTATTTTTAACACCTCGACACGTGTTTCGATCACCAAGTGATCATCTTCAGAGAGGGAAATTAAAACTTAACAGTTTTAATTAATTAATTTAATCGTTATTTTTAACACCTCGACACGTGTTTCGATCACCAAGTGATCATCTTCAGAGAGGGAAATTAAAACTTAACAGTTTTAATTAATTAATTTAATCGTTATTTTTAACACCTCGACACGTGTTTCGATCACCAAGTGATCATCTTCAAAGAGGAAGATTGGTGTTGGGAAAAAACTCCAGTAATATACATAATTGAATTGAAATTTCATTATAATGTTTATATATCTACCTGTTATTTTATTGTATTACTTTTTATTGAAAATTCAATATAATTTTTATAGATCTATTTAAAATTAATTTTCTGTATGTTTCATTACTATAACGAAGGAAGTACTTGGGTACTTATCGTTTTTACTGTTTTATTTATTCAATAATTATTTAAAAATGTATTTATATTTTGTATTCTGTACAGCTATCTGTTAAGTGAATAAAGTTATATCATTATTATTATTTTTTACCGTAGTGTACTGGTCAGGCCCTATCCGCCGAAGCCCCGATACATTCGGGAGGGCGCGCCAGCATTATCAACCAACGACCTCTCCCCACTCCGTAGAGTGAGTGATCATTGGGTCCAAGAATCATGTGCCCTGAGCAAGCGCAGTGAGCCAAGAATGACAACTTTCTGCATCTGTCCGGCTAAGATTTCTGCCTTAGTGAGGCAAGCCGGTATGATTTTAAGATTCGAGAGTAGAGAGGGCATCACTCCACTAAGGACTCCAATAATCAGAACAACCATCTTGACAGAGTGGTCTGGATAGAGTCTGCGGAGTTCGAAGAGAAAATCTTGATGTTTTATCAGTTTTTCCTCCTCTTTTCGGGCGATATTCGGGCGAGGCACCAGAAAATGAATTCTGATAATACAATTTTCATATTTTCACGTGTTTGTTGCTGAATGATATATCCGTCCATGGTGATTTGGCAAAACAGTCTGAATGAATTGACAACTTATTTGACAGATGTAGCTTCAACAAGATGGCCGTTATCAATTGTCAAATTTCGGAAACCCCTGTTGGAAGATCCTATATAAGAACATGAAACAACATGTCATAAGCAGCTTTGTTCAGAATATACAACCTGAAGGAAGTCATGAAAATGATTGACTTATGTTGGGAAATCAAAGCTGAGCTATAAAACTAGTTTCAAAGACCACATCAAACACATATCTTCGATTGGTAAGATCAAGTTTTATATTTCATTTCACCTAGAGATGGATAAAAATAGACTGATCTTTTCATTTCTAATATAATGCAATGGCTGTGTGTTTTTCAAATAAGTGGCACAACACACGCAAAAATTCAACGTACTTATTAATGCCTGATGTGTTCAAAATGCTTCAATTACTTCAAAAAAAATTTTTGATATAAAATTAAATTGAACGTGAATTCTGTCACTTTTTTCTAAACGTAATGGTTTGACAGAACCAGAATTCTTTTGTTTTCATGTGAATAATAATGTCATCAAAAATTCATCAGAATATACCTGAAGTAGGTATTGGAAAACTTCCGTAGAATAAATAAAACAAGCCACATTATAGATGAAAAAAATCGAACGCTGTCACGAATTCCTGTTCCTTTTCTAGGTTGATTTACGACATCTGCAACAAGTCCAGGATTCGAACAAAATAGACGTCGGAATAGATTTGCAGGATTACTACATATCAGTGGAATGGGACATCATGAAAGTTCCTGCTGTCCGCAATGAAAAATATTACAGCTGCTGCGAAGAACCATACCCCGACATCATTTTTTATATAACATTGCGAAGAAAGACACTTTTCTACACTGTCAATTTGATCATCCCCTGCGTCGGTATATCTTTTTTATCCATCCTCGTATTTTACCTGCCCTCCGATTCGGGAGAAAAAGTGTCACTATCAATTTCGATCCTGCTGTCACTCACAGTCTTCTTTTTGCTGCTGGTAGAAATTATACCGCCTACTTCCATAACAGTGCCTCTGCTAGGTGAGTAAATGCAGATTGTTTCAAAAGTTTTGTTTATAGGTGATTGACAATGTTTCTTGATAAATTTGATTGGTTCGGGCTTCCATCGCCTGATATTATATAAAATGATTTGAAATCCCTGACAGAACTAATGAAAAAGTGGAATTAAAAAAGAATAGCTGAACGTAATGGATATCACAAAGTTGTATGCAAAAAACATACTAATGCTTCATGAAGATTGAGAAAATGAATTATGAATGAGAAAATGAAGTTTTCGACGATCTTGCATTTTTAATTACTTTGCGGATCTTAGCTTGTGAGATATTGGATCATATTTGCGAATACCGTAGATCAATCTGAGACATGATTTCTGTATTTTTTCTATACGATTATAATCTAAGCATGGTCCATACAGAACGTCACAAAAGTAAAAGTGACTTAGGACAAGTGTATCACTTAACGTTTTTTTAAGTGATTGTGAAAGAACATGTCTATTAGGGTAAATCATTTTCAATGACCAATAAGCCTTTTGAAGACAAGAGTTAATATTTTTCTAAATCCCTTGCATCACTTGTAAACAGTAACTCTTCATTTTGAATTTTAATTCTCATAATGGTTTCAATGTGGTGTTTGTTTTTTCCAAATAGACTTGAGTGCGTTTATTCCCAACTTATGCGCATGTGATGCCTCTACTAATCGGTTTATATCTTCAGATATAACTTTTTGAGCCTCAAACCTATCTTCTGGAGCAAATAAGTGATACAGTTGTGTATCATCAGCATAAAAGTAGACTTTACAAGTTGTACTGCTCGAGAAGAAATTACACGTGTATATACTAAATAGTACGAGGCCAAGTATAGACCCTTGTGGAACTCCACAAGTGACCTTTTCTCTTGCTGACTGACCCACAGCTGTCTCCCCATATTGACTCCTGTCCTGTAGATAATTACACAAAAGACTAGAAGCACTCTCAGAAAAACCTATAAAGTTTAAAATAGAGACTAAAATTTCGTAGTTTATCGTATCAAATGCTTTTGAGTAATCTAAGAGAATAAGAACAGTTATTTTTCCTCCATATGTCTCTCTAATAATATCGTCAACAATGTTAAGTAAGGCTGTAGCACAGCTGTGTCCCGGTCTGAACCCTGAACTTAAGATACACTTACCGCGAGCTAGAAAAGCAATTGGACAGAGATACTTGGCGTATATTGCACCACGACTTTTAACCATTGTCCCAGTAGCCATGAAAAGTTTCCTGCATTCTCGTCCTTTCAAAAAAAACTGAAAAAATGGTTGATTTCTTCTAAGAGACACACAATCCATGCCACTATTTTCCCAGAAGATATATAAACTCAATGAGTAAATATAAGAGTACCTATAATATGTGTATGTACATAAGTTTGTTTTGTGCTTATATATGTGTATATGTGTGAGTATATATGACCCTTTACCCATTTACTGAAAGTTTGAAATAACTCCAAATGTAAAGCTAAAACACCTCAGAGACAAACTTTCCCGAGCTGTATTTTATTTGAATTTGTTGAAATAAACATATTATTATTATTATCATCGAATAACAATTATATCGAGCAAATTAAACGATGTAATGAAATAAAAGTGTAATAAAATACGACTTAAAATAAAACAATTAAAATAAAAAATTAAGAGATTTCAAGCCAAGTTGATTCACGACGTTTCGATCGTTAGTATCCACAATCGTCTTCGTGTGATGACCCGAATAAGTCATCAAATATATCATAATCGGATATTTCATAAATAGAGGTGTTGATGAAATACCAACTTAAAACTAACAGGGTAGAAGAATATAGTAACAAAATATCAAAAACAGGCATATTGTTGAGAAAACATTTTTTTTTCGAAAATTCATATTATAAAGACCACGAAGGTGTATAATTTTTTTCAATACTCACATAGTCTATTTGTTTATAAACAATTCAAGAATAAATATGGCTAAAATTTTTGTTCAAATTACGGAATGTCTTCATCTGTCATAGGCCTCGGAGGCATATTTTCGGCGATAAATTGATTTATGAATAATAGAGATAGAGTTTCGGAAGGTGGGACTTTTTTGGAAATTTCTCCGTCTTCAAGAATATTTTTTTTAATTTCCTGATTCTTCATAGTTTTTGGAATACTTGCAAAAACTTCAATACCTGTCTTAATCTGTCTATAATTTTTTTTGTGCTAAAACACGGTGCAAGCACATTTTTTTAGATATCACTTCGGATCGAAAGAGCTATCGTACGTATTTTTTATCATCTTCATTTCTCACCATTTTCAACCCCTGAATCTGACTAATAAATACTGACCAACACAACGCGATTTCTTCTCTTAGAACCATTAGGCATATCCTACCCACTGCGCCAGAAATTAGTCAATTTTTTCAGGAGAAGGCTTTTCAAAAACATTTTGATTTGACAGGAACTTCTGCAAATTACATGTTCCTTGAAATGACTCAAGATGCCACTTTTACTACTACTTTACAATTTTCAAGTATTTAGTGTTGAATCAGCCCTGCTTGGTTGGCATTCCTCTAGTGGGGATTCATATTGTACTAAATCTTAAAACTCGACACATTATAAAAACCTGGTATTTTTTGACAACCTTCAATATAGTGACTCATAACCTGGGCTAATAAATTATTGTCTTTACTTATTTTCAGGTAAATACTTGCTCTTCACTATGTTATTATGCACCTTATCAGTTGTTGTCACCATCGCAGTTCTGAATGTTAATTTTCGATCACCAGTCACGCACAAACTTGCCCCGTGGGTTAAAACATTCTTCATCGATATACTTCCGAAATTCCTGTTCATCGAAAGGCCGAAAAAAGATGACGACGATAAGAACCAGGAATGTATTTTAACTGACGTCATCCAGGTTCCCATGATGGAAAAATGCAAGCCATTCGAGAAAACGTCGTTCGACAGTTTCGATTTAGGTCTTCCACCCTCTAGGTAAGAGAAAATTCATATGATGTTTTTGGAAAACAACATGAATGAAATAAAATTTTTAAGAAAACAGCTATTAATTAAATGTGGTCGACCACGTTTTTGGGTTCCTTAATTTAGAAAATATCGGTGCCAAAATATTCACATAAGTTGGGTAAAATGAGAATGAATGAATCACATGAAAATAGATAAAAATCAATTTGAAAAATGACTTAGAACCAATACCAATTCATCTAAAGGCACAATTCGTTCTGGTCAGTCTTTACTCACCTACAGAGTGGGTTCATGGACTGACACCTATCAAAAACAACTATTCCCCTGACTAATACCACGAAGGGCGTTGGACAGTGCAGGATTCTTCAAAGAAAAAATTCCTGCATATGCTTTTGGCGATACAACTGCCGGAGGCGATTTTCAATTATTGGAACGCACATGCTTGCAGACCGTTTCCGGGCTATTTGGCCTCTCGTCAGTGCAAGGTATTAGATTATACAGGCTGATTCACGGTGGATGGCACATTAGACGTTTCTGGTGAACCAGACAACGGATCACTTTGAAAATTTAATGGAGGGCATATTCGGACATTCTCTAGCCAACTAAAATATTTTCAACAATGCGGTGTTGCCGCTTCTATTAGAAAGCAGTAGCAACTTTGATTTTTCAAATGGAACACTCTGTATATAATATTATTT